TGTGATACTCTCTTCATCGTTCACAAAACTATTTCTCATTCGGGCCTCTTTTTAAATAAAGATATGAGATGACTTCCCTCAAATAAGGATATGAGATGACTTCCTTTAAAAAAAAACCATGCTTTAGAATGGTATAGACTTAAAAAATGGCCATCGGAGACAAGGTGGGAGATAACATTACAATGTAAAGGTCAGATAGGGCATTATTCAGCTGGACGTTAGATTTGGATTTGAGCTTCCCAGCAGCCAAGGTAAAAAGGGATACGTTGGTTCTTAGAATTCTAAAAGCGCATGACATTTTTAGCAGCAGAGTTAGGAAAGGTAAATGATAACCAGTTCATTGAATCTTTCTTGGATACTGAGAATGTATTTCTCTAAGTATTTAAGGAACGGAAATGAGTTTTGTTGTACACAACTTGGTGCACAGAGAGAAAACCAGCAAAATAAAACTTGTCCAGCAAGTTGGCAATAGACAAATACGGAAACCGGCTGCTTCTGGCCCGAACGGCGCCCACACCGCCCTGCACCTCACCCGCTGGCTGTTGTGTGTTGTACACCGTGTCTCGGGACCGGCTCGCACCCGTGCTGTGGAAGACGAGCGATCAGTATTTGTTCTAACCCGTGGAACCCTGTGCCTGCCGGGTGAGGCACTGGCAGCCAGGGCGGTGGTCGTGGTGGTGGAACGGCTGAATTTAAAGAATCAAGCACTTGGGGCTGTGGCTGGGCCCACGCAGGGCACACTCCGGTAGAGGACAGCTGTCTGAGCAAAGGCCTGGCCCACACAGGCGGAGGGCCCCAGGGCTAGGCTGCAGCGGTCCCGCAGGGTCATGACGTAGCTGAGGCCCCAATCAGGTACCAATGAGTCCGACCCAGAGACAACCTACTCCCATGTGGACCATGGCGGGGGCACGGGGAAGGAAGTGGAGGCTGGCTTTCCAGAAGTGTCTCCAAAACCCACAGAAATGGCTGAAGCCCCCGGGGAAACCCCTGACTCTCTCCATCCTCAAGGCGATGATGAGACCTCGGCCACCCCGGCAGGGCCTCCGGGGACTTGCCCCAGCAGAGCAAATGGGCAGCAGCCACGGCCAGCGGCTCTCAGGCCGAGCGCTCCTGGGATCAGGCCGAGGGCAGGGGACCCGGCGCGCCGCTGGCTGCTCCAGGACGGGACCTGGCTCAGAGGCCAGCCTGGCGACTTCCCAGGAGAGTGGGCGTCGGGTTCCCCGCTCCCAATAACCACCTTCTCCGGGTGGGGCGCCTGCACACAATTACTTGAGCAATTCCCCGGGCTGGGTGGGGAGCAGCAGCCATCACGCTGTCGGGAGAGGCCTAGGGACAGGAGCGTCTCCACTCCGCGGAGGTGAAGACATTCCTTTCTGATTTCTACAGCCCACCTGGCCGGCGCAGTTAAAGCGGCATCTGGTACCGGGTGGGGGGGGGCCCAGGGAGGGGAGCATTGACCGTGGTTAAAACCCACACTGTAGTTACGGGGCACCCACCATGCCAGCAATTCTTATCTTTATTGCCGCTTCTCCCTGCCCTCCCCCAACCTCATCAGATTCACTAACACACTGGCATTCGAAGGGGATAGGGTGGTTCTTGGTTCAGGTCAAAGGTCAGAGGGGAGGGGGCGAAGGTCCTGGTGATTGCCAACCCCCAACTGCTGAACAGGCTCCAAAGAGGAGGTCTGGTTCAGTGCACAGAGTCTTGGGCGGGGGGCGGGGCAGGGCAGGGTGGAGGTGGGGAGGGGACTAGAGCTTCTGGCAGAGGTCTGGCCAAACCCAGGCTGGCCGAAGGTTTGGTACGGGGGACAAAAGGAGGGTGAGGGGTAGATTTTGGCCGGATCAAAGAAAGACCTTCTCATGCTGTGAGACTCTGGACTATGTGGGTTCTTGAGAGATCAAGAAGCCCCCAAGACCCCCGCCCACCTCCTTCAGCCCCCTCTGCCAGGGTCGCAGCTGCTGCCACGCCGATATCGGTCCTCAGACGGCTTGCTGGTCTGGTCTGCGGGCGGCACTCGGGTCCCGTCTGTCCGCGGTGCGTGTGAGCTCGTCAGCTCGGACCGAAGGCCAGGCGGCTCAGACCACAGACGCTTATTTCTCACCGTTCTGGAATCTGGGTCGTGTAAAACCAGGTGCTGGACAGTGCGGTTCCCGGGGAGGACTGCTGTCTCGGCTTGTCCACAGGGCCCATGTCTCTGGCTCGAGTGCCGCTGGGGGGTGCACCTGGGAACCAGGGATGGCTGCTGTCGCCATGCACCCGTCCCCCGGGTGGGCACAGCACAGCCAGGAGAGGGACGCACTGGGCAGCGGTCCCAAATGCGGATCTGAATTGGCCCCGGGTGAGGCCCCTGCCACGCCTGGCACCGCTGGGGTCCCTGAGCAGACCAGCAAGAATTCCGCAGCTGGAGTCCTGTCACTCAAAACCACTTAAAAAATTACTCTCTTACAAACTCCTCCGGACTTCCGCTGCCGCGGCTGCTGGCCCACACCAGACTCCGAAGAAGGTGGTGTCTACGCGAGTAAACAGTGTCTTCCTCGAACAACCCAGGGGCGGCCGGAAGTCGGGCCACAGTTGTTTGCGTGGCAAACTACACAACACGAGAATGAGTCACGGTGCAAGGGTGGTCTGGGGTTCGCCCACTCGCAATGGTAACCTGCTTTTGCCCGCCACTGCATTTGTCACGGTGGCGCTCTGTAAGGGGGGACCTACAACGTCTCAGTGCTTGTGCCGGTGTTCTGTGGGACCATCCCACTGCGGCCTCGCAGCGCAGTGCGGGTAGCAGTTTGCATTCTGCGGCGGAGGAAGACGAGGCTCTGAGACACCGAGTTTTGTGCTCAAGGCCACACAGCTCAAGGGTGGCTGGTCCTGCGCGTGAGTCTGCAAAACCCACAAGGTTGGTTGTTTTTTTAAAGATTTTATATATTTACTTTTAGAGAGAGGGGAAGGGAGGGAAAAAGAGAGGGAAACATACACGTGCAAGAGATGCATCAATTGCTTGCCTCTTGCACACCCCCAGCTGGGGAACCTGGCCCACAACCCAAGGATGTGCTCTGACTAGGAATCGAACTGGCGACCCTTTGGTTTGCAGGCTGGCGCTCAGTCCACTGAGACCCACCAGCCAGGACCCCGCAGAGATTTTTAATGTTAAATGTAATATCTCCTCAAATCATCGTGTCTCCAAAATGCAGGCTGACCTTGTAAAATATTAGCGGTAGACTCTAGGTGTCAGTACCCTTTTTTTTTTCATTTATTATAAAATTCTTTCAACCGTTCAGTATGTTTGAAACTTTTCATAATAAAATGTTGGGCAAGAAAAACTTGCAGCATGACTTCCAGATGTTTTTCCACTTGGACCAACTTGAGAACCTTGGTACATCTCACAAAAGCTGGCTGGCCTCCCCGAGTCCTAGCTGGAGGGGCGGGCCGGGATTCCCGGCTCCACGCTGCCTGCCGATGGCAGCGACTTCCTGCCGCTGGCCCCTGCCGAGGCGAGGCTCCCACCGGCCTCTCTGAGGCTCGGGATCAGGCAGGGCCAGGACTCGGCTCCCGCTTCTCACCTCCGCCTCTGCGTCTGCAGCTCCCAGGCCCCAGCGCCCTCAGGAAGGGCTGATTGGCCAGCCAGGGTCATGTGCTCATCTGAGAGCCAATCCAGGGCAGGAGGCTTGGCCCCACCCACCAACCTCATCTCCCAATCTAACACCCGTTGAGTGTGCTAAGAGCCCTTTCCCGGAGGAGCAAGCGCCTAGGTTCCCAACAGCCCCACGGAAGCCTCAGGAAAGAGGCGGCTTCCAGAAAACTCCCTCTCCAAAGACCTGGGCCCCAGACTTGACTCCCAAGCTGCAGGTGGGAAACCGGGACCCCATGAGGCCTGCGCCTTTCCCGCCCTTCACCCTGAGACTTCATTCCTGCGATCAGACCCCAGGCTCCGCCCCTCCCCTGCCAGGACCCCGATCCGCTGGCGTGGAGAGCTGCTCAGATGTCCCCTGCACTCTCCTGGTCCCTGGCACTGGCTCCCGGGACCGTCCAGCCTCTCTTTGATGTGCCCCGAAGGGGTGACCTCAACAACGTCCGCGAGTTCCCAAAGGTGGAGGGAGACCACGTTCCGCAGCGCTGGAGTGGCGCAGGCTTACATGACCAGGACACCGGCCACCCTGGAATCCCAGCGAGGCTGACGTCCCACGGGGGCCCCGAGACCTCGGCCAGTGCCAGGGCCCGGGCCGCTGAGCCGAGCCGAGCTGAGCTGGGGCACTCGGAGGATGGAACCTCCGAGCTGCGGACGGGACACCCGCGAAGGCAGGGCAAGCCCAGGGCAGGATTCGGAGCAGCTTGTGTGGGGAAAGGGCTGGATGCTGAATCCCTGCGCATCCAAGGCGGTCTTGGGGGGTAGGGTGCTTTCGTTCCGACCCCTTACTTTGAGGGTGGCGTTGGGACACGCCGTAAAACCAGCCTGTCCACCTCCCGTCTGACACAGGTTGTCGGAGAGGAATGGAATTTGGAGTCTGATAACTGGAACTGGAATTCCATCTTTGTCTCTGAACAGCTGCGTGACTTTGGGCAGTTCGGTTCCCAGTCCGAACCCCGTTTGCTCACTCCAGACTCCAGCGTGACCACGCCCACCTTGCCCGGAGGCCAGGAGCGATGCGCGGAGCGCCCCCTGCCGAGTGACTCGGCGCACACTGGAGGTCTCGTCTTCCCGCTGGAGAGAATTGTTATTGCCCAGCGATTTCTGGAGGGGACACTCTCAAAAGCCACAGCTCTGTGACTTGCCCAGCAGGGCTGGACGTGGGTGTGGAGTAAGCCCTTTGAGCCATGCTTCTCCCAGGGAGAGTGCGGTGCCAGAAACGGTGTGGATGGGAGGTTTCTCCAGTACACAGGCCAGGCCCCACCCCGGGACCCTGGGCGGCTGGAGGGTCTCTAAGAAGGCCTCGGGGGGACATTCCCGGGGCCCTCTGCTACTGGGGATCCCCTTTTTTGAGAGACTTCCACGCACAGGCCATCAGGAGAATCACAAAGCTGTTTATTTTCCACCTCTAAGAAAAGACGGATGCAGGGAGCGGAGAAAAACCCCCGCCCCCTGGTGCACGTGCTGGAGCCACACACGAACCCAACTGTGTCTTTACCAACGGGGGGCTGTGTCCATGGAACAGTAATTTGCCCCTAAGTGTCCCTCAAGCCACCGCGTCCACAGCAGCCGTGTCCCTAGAAGTGGGCCTACAACACCTGACTGGCAAAAAAGGCACCAAATGTCAACGTTCACACAGTCAGGGCAGACACGGGTCTGGTCTGGGCTTGGAGAGCGGCTGCCCCCCGAAAAGCACCTCCCTCTCCCCGCTCCTTAGCCATGCCCAGCCCGCAGGCCGAGTAGAGGCAGCAACCTGTGACCTTTGTGTTGAAAAATGAGCCCGGTTTTCAACCAGACAGTTGTGCGATCGGACCCACCACTTCAGCACCAGAATACACCGATGGACTTACCCATCTGGCCCAGCTTAGTATGCGTCAGCCTAAAACTACAAACGAATGCATGCGGTGGAGGCGTGCCCGGGCGGCGCGCGCAGGGGCAGGCCGCAGGCGGCGGCGGCGGCGGCCGTGACGTGGCTGCGCCCTGGGCGGGGCCTCAGAACCAGTACTCGGAGACGAAGATGTGGACGTTGACGACGTTGCGGTGGGACACCACGCCGCCGACCACGTAGCTCATCTCCAGCTTCAGGACGGCCTGGGACGGGCCCACGATGGGCCGCACTTGGCGCACGACCCCTGCGGAGAGAGCGGAAGGGGTTTGGAAGTCAGCACGTCTGAGACTTTCTCTGGAGGGATCTCAGAATTAGAAGGGGCCTGAGACCTCATCAGATCCCGCTCCGAGCCAGGTGCTCGAGTGCCCCGCGTGGCATGTCCCTCCCAGGGGTCACCCCTGGGGTCTGCTTCCGCCTCCAGGGACGGGTGACAGCGAGCTCACGCCAGCCTTTCCGTCGTGCACAGCTCGGACCGTGTGGGGGTCTGCGTGGGGGCTTCGGAGTTGGCGGCTCTGGGGTCACGGCCAGCTCCCACTCTGCCCCAGCCCGGGCTTCCTCCTCGACCACCTCCCCCTGTCAGAGGCCTTCAGAGCCCAGAAAAGGGCCTTGTACGGGGCAGATGCCCAGGAGACACCTGCCCCCTCCCTCCTGTGCCCTGGGCCCAGTCTGACCCTCGGGCAGAAGCAAAGCAGGAGTGATTCGCTTCCCTGTCACTGTGAGGATTCAGCGGGGTCCTGGGTCCCCTATCCAAGAACAGAAGTCCCAGTTCCCCAGTGGGACACACCCCTGCACCCCCTCTCCACACCTCTGTGGAGGGGCACACCTGAGCCCGTGATTCAGTGTTGGTGGTGACAGGTGAGCAAGAGGTGGGCGACAGAGGCTCGGAGTGGGTCCGGCCCAGGCCGAGAGGCTGGCCAGGCGGCACGGGGGAGGCAGGGACCAGCCCTGAGGAGCAGAAGCCTGCTGTGCGAAGCTGCAGGGAGTTCTGCGTGGACCAGGGTGGGGACCCGGCCCAGGCCGTGATTGGAGGCCTCCCCTGCCGGGGCTCACAGCGCAGGGCACAAAGCTCGGGGGGGTCAAGGTGGACGCAGGTGAAGCCCCAGCATCCTGCAGACTCGCAGGGGAGCAGGACTGGGTGATAAGAGCAGACTCCACGATTCTCTCCAGCCCTGGGCCTGCCTGGCCTGCCTGGCCAGCTCTGTGTCTCCAGGCCAGGCCGCTGCCGTCTGGGCTGAGCTGCGTGGGGCTGGGGTGATGGGGTGACTGCACCCTTTCTGGACCTCAGGTTCCTCAGCCAGCAAGTGACACCACGGGACCCTGTGCCCCCAGACTGCATCATCCAGACGCCCCCACACTGTCTGCCAAAGATGAGCCCAGGTGTGCCGGGCACCCCCCACCGGATCTCCACGTGCACCCACGCACCCCTCCCCGGGCACCAGGCTGTTGCCCGGGATGCAGAAAAAACCAATGGGGCCCTGGTTTCAAAGCCGACAGAGGACCTAGGTCAGGGCCCCCCATTGTCCAGCAGGGGTGAGAGTGGAGGGAGGGAGGGGTGGCAGGAAGGCTTTCTGGAGGAGGTGCCTCTTTCGGGGTGCATGGCCCCCGGCCCTCTGTGCCCCCGGCAGCATCACCTCCTCTCCCCAGGTCTGAGGCCGACAGTGCTGCCTCCCGCCTGCGTGGCCTCGGCAGCCTGCCAACTTCACACGTCTTGGGGGCAGCAAAGGGCATGACCGTGACCCCAGGGCTCGGAGGGGCTGCGGGAACTCGAAGGAAAGAGGCGAGGGGCCGGGCGGGCTGAGAACTATTTCAAGACGGAGAAGCTGTGCAGAGCGGGGGAGGGAGCACGCCTGCAGTCGGACACACACTCACTTCCAAGTTGTCGTATTCACTAGAGCACGTAATTACCGCGCCATGTGTACACACTTGGTGTAATTATAAATACAAACCGGCCCTGGCTGGTGCGGCTCAGTGGATTGAGTGCTGCCCCACAAACCAAAGGGTTGTCGGTTCAACTCCCAGGCAGGGCACATGCCTGGGTTGCAGGCCAGGTCCCCAGTTGGGGGCACATGAGAGGCAACCGCACATTGATGTTTCTCTCTGTTTCTCTCTCCCTTCCCCTCTCTAAAAATAAAATCTTAAAAAAAAACAATAGATATTATATAAAAATATATAAATATAGCATACAGTATTTTAAATGTATAAGCCTTTATATGTACCTATATATTTTATACTTACCAATGTTTAAGTTATTTTATAAAATGTGTAATTTATATATTACTGTATAAGATATAAATTTATATATAAAATAAATATCACAAATAGAAAAACAATTGTGTTACACACACTTAAGTAAGCCTTCCCTGCCGCCTGGGGAGCTTTAATGGCATCAACGGGTCAAACCGACGGGCGCTGGGGCTTGTCCGCACGCCAGGCACTGGGCGCTGTGGGCAGGGCGAGTCACTGACCGGCTCAGTGTGGGGACCCACGGGAAAGGGAAAGGGCCATCAGCCCACTCAGGGACAGGGCACAGCAGTGTGACCCCACGGGAGTGACTTAAGCTTTCGGAGTCTCAGTTTCCTTTTCTTTGAAACAGGGCTTCAGAACAGCCACCCAGCCCGGGACCACCCCTTCCCCTCCGTCAGAGGTGGCCGCTGGATATTACAGGGCGTCGCGCGCGTTGACACGGACCTGGCTTTCCCCGCACGGCGGGCCGAATCCCCGCCGGCCGAAAACGCGAGCGAGACCACGGCATGGGTGGCCAGATGTCACGAGGGAGGAAGGCTCCGACCAATGCGCGGGGAGCGTTGGCGTCTAAGTTTCGTGTCGGGGCAGCTCACGTCACGGGTTCAGTGTCCCTGACGGCCACCCCTGCGCACGGGCGCACGGCTGGGATTGTGGGCCGCGGAGCGGGGAGACAGAGGGGAGGCAGGAGGAAGCAGGGCGCCTCCTGTCGGCGGAGACGGCGCTCGAGGGGGCGGGGCAGGCACCAGGCTGGATTGCTGATGCGGGTCCCAGCCCGGGCCGGCTTTCGCAGGACTTGGCGCTGAGCAAGAAAAACGATTTCGGCGGAACAATCAGACACGCTGCACGGGTCAAACAAGGAATCCTGCGCATGCGCGCAGCAGGTGGTCAGGGCGCGTGTCTCCCGTCCCTCTGACTTCAAGCTCCACCTCTGACCCCAGCCGACACCCCCTCTCCCGGGCCACGCCCTCTCAGGGGACCTGACGCCACCTCCACGCGGCCACACTTCCCGGAGCTCTGGTTGGGCTGGACGGGGCAGTGCAAGCTGGAGTCCCACCTCCTCCCATCACCCTGACCGAACCCTGCTGTCTCCCGGTTCCTCTTCCTCCTTCACAGCTTTCCCACCCGCCCACCCACCCCCACAACAAAGGGCCGGGGGGGGGTAAGGAATATTTGGCAGAGCAGTGATTTTTCAAACCCTTTTCATCCCTCAGCACACATGAACTAATTACTCAGATTCTACGACTCACTGGAAAACACTTTTTGCTGATCTGACAAAACGGTAGGCATCCTCCTGCTTCCTCCGCCCCGGACGGCCACCGCGGTGCTGGCTGTCTCCATTCATCGGCCCGTCCAGGGGAAGAGCGGTCAGCGCCCCCGGCTCGACAGTCAGGTGGTGCGCGCTTTACAGATTCTCGCGGCACACCGTCTGAAAATCACAGCGACGGAGGAACTGGCTTCAAGTGGGGTTTTGAAGCCTACGTCGAGGGTAGGAAGCAGGAAGGACCGGCGTGAGCCCCAGAAGTAAGAGGGTTCCCCGGCCTGCGTTAGTCCTCAGGGGACCGGCAGGCCAGGCTGAGGCAGCGGTGGCTGGGGCTGCGCCCCCACAGAACCAGGGACCTGGCTCTGCAGTCTCCAGACCGCCGCTCTCTCAGAACCGTGGCCACTGCCCTCCTGGTACAGGACACGTGGGCAGGAGGTGGTGGTGCCCAGGCTGCTCATTGGAGGGTCGCAAAGCCTCCACGGGGAGCAATGCCGTCCACCCACCTGGTTCCACGGACCTGAAGCGCCAGGTGCTGGGGACCGGCTAAACCACTTACATCCTCGTCTGTGAACCTCCGCCCCGCCGTCCCACTCTGGGTCACCTGCCACCCGGTCTCCTGCAGGTGCCACACCGCACCTGCCCACTGCTGGGAACCTTCCCAGGGGGCTCCCGCTCCAGGGGCAGGGTCTGCACCGTGCTCGCCTCGGTCCCGTCCCTGGGCCTGGGGCAGGGGCTCTGGCACGGTTGTTGAGGGGGTGAAGGTGGACAAAGAAGAGAGAGGAAGGGAAGGACGGAGCACACGAGGAAGGAAGGGCCATCTGTCCCTGAGCCCCGACTCGGGGGAGGAAGGTGAAACCATGTCCGGAAGGGCAAGGGAGCTGCAGCCGGCTCTGAGGGGAGGCAGCTTTATTATCTGGAGGGACCGTTCTGGCGGCAAACTCGGGGCGAAGGGAGCGGCCACTGCCGCCGCGTCCCCTGCGCCCCGGCCCTCCAGAGCCCCCAGAAAAAGGGCCGTGGAGCCGAGTTCGACCATGTTAATCTCCCAGAGCCTCGTCGTCGTCGGCATTTCTGCTCCGGGTCTCAGACGCTGCTGGTATTCCTCGGCGTGTCTGTGCCTCTTAAAGATATAATTAAGCCTTTTTTTCCCCCTTTGAAAAATGCAGGCCCCTCGGGCACCCCGCCTTCACGTCTCATCTCTGCCAGGTAAATTGCAGCCGCCGCGCGGGGCACCTGGCAGCCCGCGCACGGGCCCGGCGGGGGAGCGCCGCCGCCTCCCGCGGGGTCTGCGGCCGGGGTCTGGGCCCCAGGACCCAGCCCCCAGTGGCGGCGGCGGCCCCCCCGGGCTGCCCTTGACCGCCCTCCCGTTGTTTGAAAGGATGGAGAGCAGCCACCGGGCTGTGACCTGAGACAATGACCTCCAAAGGGACCCGGAGTCGCAGCCTGGGGTTCCCGTGTTGGCTCCTCCCTGGCCACCCGTGTGACGAGTGCCAGTCCCCATCCGCTCTCACGCTCAGGCTCCGACTCGGGTCTGGCGGACACGGTAACCAGAGTGGCGGGGACAGAGTTGTCGGAGGCTTTTAACAAAGAGGGTGGGGATGCAAGAGGCTGCGTGCCAACCCTGTGCCCGTGGAAATGAACTCCGCCCATTCAGAGACACAGGCGTGAGTCAGAAAGGCAGACGTGAGAAAGCCACGTGTTAACCCCGTAGAAAGAACCAGAAGCCACCACGACCTGAAATC